TCTCTTTCTCTTTCTCTCTCTCTCTTTCTATCTATCTATCTACCTATATCTATCTCTATCTCTCTTTCCTTCTTTTTTAATCTCGAAAATAGCTCCACGAACGAAAGATTAATTCGACAAGTGCACGGGTTGGCTTCCGTTGTCTGTTCTCTGTCACCGGTGTTACATCACGCCGCAACAACGCGACACGTTAACGTCCGCGCGTCCGCTTCGCGAGGATATCATTAATCGCGACGTCGCGTCAATACGTGACCGGGACCGAAGCGACGTCATAAAAAGCTGTTGTCGCAACGGGTTACGCGAGCGTTATGCGGGCTCTCCGCAAACGGGGAGGGTGAGTTCGGCACGCGTTGCGGCGAGACCGAGGCAAAACGAGCACACATCCAAGCATTAATATTATTTCAAAGGGGGCAACGAGGCCGAGTGGATTTACGACTGCGGCAGATCCTGAAAAAAGGCCCTTCCCTCTCTGTTTTTCTCTCGCTCCCTCCCTCTTTCTCCCTGTCTGTCTCCTTCGCACGCGGCTCTTTATGGCGCTTGTTTACGGGCGTACTTAAACCGCTATGATTTAGTGAACGATGTTGTCGGTGACCGTCGGAGCATAATTCGAGAGTAGCATCGACGCGCGGGGGACTGTTAATCTCGCTCACGGTCGGCCGATGATACGCTCTGAATTATCGTCCCCTCGCGAAACAATAAAAACCGCCGGGTCAGACAAACGCGTCGTTCGCGAGGAACATCATGCGTCGTGCGGATGAATCGGGTCAAAGCAGTTCGCTATTTTGATTAACACTCGTTACGACATGGTTTATGGTAGGCTCGAGACTATGCAAGAAAATGTCGAATTTTGTCGACGACATCGATCCTGAGATCTATCAGGCAGTAATTCAAGCCGATTCAAGATTTGTCTACAAATGAATAAGGCGCTTTTAATTTTCAACGAACGCCGAAAATTACGAGGTATCTTGAGTCCGAAGTTTTGGTTCTGCATTGATCTTGCAAATTCTGTTAAACTTAAAGGATCAAAGGAGAACCTCGAGATATAATACTGAATAGGTTATTAATCTATTTTAATGCTGCAAATGTTTACTCGCTGCCGTTTTCTCCATGTTAAAGCTTAAAGAAACACTTATATTAAAATTATTTTATATTAAATCATCTCAACATTCTATCTATATTTCATTTCTATTCATAATGTCGTGATAAGCATTATATCGATTACCCAACTTAATTAACTGTACATAAAATATGCGCGATAAGCATATACTAAATAATTGAAACGGTCGTTGAAACGAATATAAATAATTTATTAACGAGTAAATAAAACACCACACTTTACTTTCTTATAATCTCTTTCCTTTTTTTCAATTGTTGTTAGAAATTTCGATAGGATTTGAATATTGAACAAAAAAGGGCGAGAAGAAAGAACTTAAAAGGCCAAAGGCAGCAGTTATGTAAACACCAACCAGGATTTAAACTTGGATTTACACTTGAGCTCAGTACAATAACAAGTCTGTCGTTAAAAAAAAGCAAGTTAAAAAATGCGTTGGTAATAATTAAGCTGAAACTCAGGCCCAAACAAACATTATTAGAAAAACAAATCTCAGCACTTGCGAAAATTAGACAGGTATTGGATAGTTGTAAATTATTCACGATCCTTGATTGAGAGCATACTTAGTTACAAGATTCATATTCATGAGCCGTGTTAATCGGTTGTTCGAATCAATCTCTTGTATGAATTAAGTATTACTGATTAAAAGTAAACAAATATTCACGAAGTGGTGGTTATCTATACAAAATTGACGAACTATAAGTGCCAGTCTTAGAACAGATTCTAAATTCCGACTTGTATATCCCCTCATTCTCGGTAAATTCGTCAAAGGCTGAAGTCAGAAATATTTCGCGTAATAAATAACTGGATACACCTGGAGATGCATCGCTGCCTGCAACCCGGCATTCTGGCTTCCCGATTTCCGCTCCTTCCTGGCCGTTTCATTGTACAGGGTACTCATTAACAAACTACACTGAACACGTACTACAATTCGATTGGAGAAACACGTGTTTCTAACTAACGCAATACCGAGAGAACCGAATAAAGAGCCGGTAAAATATTTTGATCTCCCGACGGGAATCGTAAACAACTCACTGATACAGGTAGCTCCGCGTCATGGCATGTTTACGTTCATCGGTTCGCGCTGTAATTGATTCGGTGACGGACAAGTATGCAACGTACGAGAGTATCAAAACAATTGATATCAGTTAACAATTAATACAAAGGAGACTAAGTTCCCTAATTGCCGTCGTTGTCCGTAAATCAATAACGAATACATTCAGTGACTGTAAAATTACGACAATCAACGATCTCAAAAGAGTTCAGACTGAATTGTATAAATCTTATTATAATAATGGTTATTATAAATAAAAATCCTGTTTACTTTAGACAAAACTTTGGTTGTCCACTTTCTAGACTGAATTGTATGAATCCTATTATAATAATGGTTATTATAAATAAAATTCTGTTTCCTTTAGCTAAAACTTTGGTTGTCCACTTTCTGGTTAGTTCAAATATAATTTCTTATCAGTGCAGTAATTACATGATCAAATTATGGAGTTATCGGAACGGTTATACTATCAAAAGTATCTCTCATAACATCGGGTAATTATTGTCGGTAATTATTGTCAATTAACGTATATTATTAAATATTGTATTGTTGATTGATTAGTACTTAGTACTTTAGTACTTTTTTGAAACAGTTGAGAGTCCGGTCACGATAAGAATCAGAAACTGAATTCAAAACGGGATACAGGATGCAGGATTTATCGGCGACAAGACTGACAAACTTCTTTTCTTCGCCTCTTTAAATTTCTAAATCCTATTGAAATTTCTTCCAATTGAAGATAATAATAAAAAGATTATATGAAAGAGGAAAATTAATTTTTTCATTTAACTACTTATCTATTAATCTTTATGAGATTATTTAATATTTGTCTATCGCACATTCTATCATCAGTTGAATAAGTTGCATAATTATTATATGCATAATTATTATTATAAAATTATATTATAACATAATTAAGTATTCTATTATAATAATAATTATTACTGCATTAATACATTGCTAATTAAAATTAAAAATAAAAATAAAACGCTGATAGAATATTACGATATAATCGAATGTTAAACAATGCTAAATATCCATTTTCTAAAAGTATTTATAGCACTAGAACTATTCTATAGATTTTTAGACAACTCCTTGTTTAATCTTCGTCATAAAAAAAATGACAATACCATTTGTAATATCAAGGAACAAAAGCTTGCATTTTGCAATATTGTTTTATCTCGAGATTCTCCATTGATCTTTCAAGTTCGATGGAATTTCCAAAGTTAACATAGGACTAACTCCATTTCGACTGGAGATACCTTCATATCGAGATATGGTATAATTATATAATTAATTGTATTATAGTTGTATTATAATTGTACTGTAATTACATTACATTATAATTGTATTATAATCGGTAAATCATAACCCGTTAATGATCGACTCCGCGATTGGCTTTTCGACGCAACACCTTTCCCGAAAGAGACCAATTTTTCCCTCTTTCAATCACTCTTCCGAGTCATCCCTACTCGTGAATTATTCGATTGAAAACCCGGCAAATCCTCGCGAAATTCTCAAAAGTCGGGCCTCAGCTAAGAACGCCGGTTGAAGGGGCGCGCGCGAGGCCTGTTGCAAACAGCGATTGATTTTACACGGACGCGGCCGCTAAACGGATTAACGCCGGGCGAAATCATATTTGCCCGTTGTTCCTCGAGCGTGTCCACGTGCTGACCTACATCGATCCTAATCTGGCCACGTCCGACCGGAGGCTTACGTCGAAATTGTCCCCGTTGGCAACCAGCCGGCGGTCCGACCGACGACCCTCCGGTGGCCTCCGCCCAGGCCATGGAGCCGATGGGGCATCCGCTTAAGTGCCACTAAGTAGGTATGTAAGATATGAGGTGCGGGGCCTACATGTATGTGTATTCATCGGGCGCCTCAATGCACGCTGGTCTCATCTCGCGACGCATCTACGTGGCCGCGTTTATGCAGCTATTGCGGCCTCCTGTTTATCGACAGTGGCGTATCGAGGAGCCATATAGAGAGACGGGATGCAAATGACTCCCGTACATCACATCGGGCCCGTGCACTGTTCGTAGACAAAGGGCCAAGGTACTTACGGACAACGACGAGGTCGACGAAGCGAGTCCGCCGGTCAGACCGAAGACGCCCGTTGCTTTCGCCGCTCTGTTGACTTTGACTTCTTCCTTTTCTTCTTCTCCTCCTTCTTGCCCTCCTTTCCTCTTATCATCCTCCATTATGCTCGACGAGTCTCGACGTTACGTAATTCTCGTTCGCGACGAGGAGGAGCTGCGGGAGAAGGAAAGAGGTAACTGGAATGGATGCTGGGAATCGAGATATATGCGTTTTGCGTTTCGGGACGGTAGGAGAACGTCGTCGGGTTTTGTCTCGCGGCGACACGGGGGAAAACACATCGGCGAAAACTGCCGTTATTTTTCACCGGTGAGGAATCATCGCGACGTCGGCGAAGCGCGAGTAAATGAGCGAAGTAAGAAACGAAATATATCTCACGTTCGCAGTTCTCGCGGGAATACGCGCGATACACACGCACACGTTTCCTCCCCATAACGACGCGTCGTTTTCCGCCGCGCTCGGCGCGGACCGCGAAATGAACTCGACCGGTCGAAAATCCGGTCGTTTAATTAAAAATGCGGCTGTATGTCGGGGACGGGGGCTCAATCGTGGGGGCGCAGG